TAGCTACTTTTATTGAACATGTGTCGTAGAGGATATTAATAAGATTTCCTTTTCATGATAAGTATATCCTTTTCTTTTGGGAGTACTTACTAACTTATTTAGACACTTAGATACTTAAATGCGATGCTTAGAAGATTGAAAGTTACTATTTTGTTCTAAGTCTAAATCTAAACTCCTTTGCACATTGAGAAGCAACGAACTTGTAGATATTGTAAGTTTGCTCTTTAACACCTTAACCAAAATAAACTATTTTCATTTTCAACCAAAATCTTAAGTAAACAAAAATCACTGCTTGTCTTTTCAAATCCTATTGCATCTTATGCCGCTCTGAAAAAGTTGCTGAAAAAGATATTCTATATTAAATCGGTGGACATTACCTTCACAGGATTTACCGCTTAGAATGATTACATCATTTGATCGTTGTTACTTTATTGTCGTGATTAACTAGACGCACTCATATTTTGAAGGTGAAGTGATTCAAATAATTAAAGCAAACGAATAAAAGCTAACCTGAACAAGGTTTCTCCTCCCTGAGGCCATGGATCCAACTCCTTATCATGGTTATCTACTAGTAGTTGAACAAATCGTTTCGATACGCCTCGTTCAAGTTGTTTCAACAGCGCTGGCTTTCCAATGAAGTCTTTCTGAAAAATAAAGTGGACGATTAATCCAATTCACAAAATCAGTGCGTTATATATGAGCCGTCATTTCAAAACACACTCCGTCAGGATAAGTCACACCTAGACCTCTCTACAGGAGTAGTAGCTAACTCTAAAGGCAAACTAGAAAAGCCAGCCTATCTAGGACACGATTTGATGGAATCTAGCTGTAAACGAAATATGCCATATATGCGTAAGGATAAGTGGATGTAATAACAGCTGATGATCAATCGAACGTACTGTGAGGTCAACCCGGAAAGCATATCGCAATGCTTCATACTCGTCCGGCTGCAATTGATCATATAATGCCATTGTTCCAAAACAAACAACAATATAATATCAAAATCAACCTCATGTACCCAAGCTTTTAGGAGAAATACACACACAATATCCTCCTCTGCACTTTACCGCACGGCTTTCCACAACACAAGGAAATACCATGCAATTATGGGAGCAAGAATGGTCAAGATCAGAATTTTTTGGAGAATGCCGGATATCAGTTGCATGCAACAACAGAAAGGCTGTGAGGTGTCGAACTTGAGACATATGAAGCGAGGCTTAAGAAAAAAAGATGAATTGTTAGATATGGCGCTACAACATTTAACAACTTGTCTAAACACAACTTGAAAATCTGGTTT